ATATTGGATGCTGGTTTAAAGCATATACAGCCTCCTGGAGAACATTGCCCCAACCCTGCTATTGCCACCTAGCTGGCACCGTAATTGTGTCTTATAGAAGGCCATTCCATCATTCTATCAAGCCAGCTGCTTCAGGATGATGGGGAACATGGTAAGACCAGTGAATTCCATGAGCATAGATAGGCCCACTGCCGCACTTCATTTGCTGTGAAGTGAGTCCCTTGATCTGAGGCAATGCTGTGTGGGATACCATGATGGTGGAGAAAGCATTCTGTAAGTCCACAGATTGGTAATTTTGGCAGAAGCATTGCGTACAGGGAACGCAAATCCATATCCAGAATAAATGTCTATTCCAGTAAGGACAAAACGCTGCCCTTTCCATGATGGAAGTGGTCCAATGTAATCAACTTGCCACTAGGTTGCTGGCTGATCACTTTGAGGGATGGTGCCATATCGGGGACTCAGTGTTGGTCTTTGCTGCTGGCAGATTAGGCACTCAGCAGAGGCTGTGGCCATGTCAGCCTTGGTGAGTGGAAGTCAATGCTGCTGGGCTCATGCATAACCTCCATCCCTGCCACCATGGCCACTTTGTGAGCCCATTGAACAATGGCAGGAGTAGTTGGGGAAAGAGGATGAGTGGTTTCCACAGAACGTGTCATCCTATCCACTTGATTGTTAAAATCATCCTCTGCTGAGGTCACCCTTTGGTGAGCATTCACATGAGACACAAATAGCTTCACGTCTTTAGCCCATTCAGAGAGGTCTATCCACATACCTCTTCCCCATAAATCCTTGCCTCCAATTTTCCAATCATGGTCCTTCCAAGTCCCTGACCATCCAGCCAAACCATTAGCCACAGCCCGTGAATCAGTATATAATCACACATCTGGCCATTTCTCTTTCCAAGCAAAGTGAACAACCAGGTGCACTGCTCGAAGTTCTGCCCATTGAGAGGATTTCCCTTCACCACTGTCCTTCAGGGAGGTCCCAGAGAGGGGCTGTAGTGCTGCTGCAGTCCACTTTCGAGTGGTGCCTGCATATCATGCAGAACCATCTGTAAACCAGGCATGAGTTTTCTCTTCCTCAGTCAACTGATCATAAGGAACTCCCCATAAGGCCATAGGTACAGACTGGGAAATGGAAGGTAATGTAACAGGAGTGGAGACAAGGGCATTTGAGACACTTCCTCATGCAACTTACTTGTGCCTTTGGGTCCTGCTTGGGCCCAATCTCAAATATACC